TTGATATCGGTCAAAATGATCTTGGTGCTGGCTTTTTTGGAAACATGACTATACAACAAGTCAATGCTTCTGTACCTGATATAGTCAATGCCTTCACACAAAAATGTTAAGGTGGTTCAATAATCAATACCCTTGTTAGATACTTTATTGTGTAGTCAATTTATTAATTTATTATTGTGAAGAAGAGAGAAAAAGATAGAGGTGGTAATATGTGTGTTGAATAATTGTGTATATTACCAAGAAGGGGAGAAGGGGAGAAGGGGTATATATATACATATTGTAACATCCCCCCTCAAACTCAAGTAGGTAAGGAAGATACCAACTTGAGTTTGGAAACTAATGTGCGAAAACGACCAGGATGATGTGCTTTAGTAAGCAAGTCAGCTGGTTGATCAACAGTGCTAATCGGAATGAGATTAAGAGTACCACGAACAACGTGTTGTCTAGTAATATGACAATCAATCTCAATGTGCTTGGTGCGCTCATGAAAAACATCATTGTGAGCAATCTGAAGAGCACTACGATTGTCGCAAAAAAAATCAGTAGGAGAAGATTGGGGAAACCCAAGATCACCTAAAAGCCAACGAATCCAGACAATCTCAGAAGTGGTATCAGCCATAGCACGATATTCGGCCTCAGTGCTAGAACGTGCAACAAGTTGTTGCTTCTTGCTACGCCAAGAAATAAGGGAGTCACCAAGAAAAATGCAAAAACCAGTAACAGAACGGCGGTCAGTGGGATCACCACCCCAATCAGCATCGGAGTAAGCACGAAGGATCAATGGGGTAATATGTGTGTTGAATAATTGTGTATATTACCAAGAAGGGGAGAAGGGGAGAAGGGGTATATATATACATATTGTAACAATTATTATTATTTTAAATTAATTATTATGGTGATGAAGGACATATATGATCTGGGAGCAAGATCATTTTGGATACACAACACAGGACCCATTGGCTGTCTCTCATACATTTTGGCCAATTTTCTATCAGAAAGGGATGATTATGGTTGTGCAAAGCCATATAACGAAGTAGCCAAATATTTCAACCAAAAGTTAAAGGAAGCTGTGGTTCAACTTCGGAAAGACATTCCTCAAGCTGCAATCACATATGTAGATATCTACTCTGTTAAGTACTCAGCAATCCAAAGAAATACGGTAAGCGAAATTAAACTTGTCATGTTATACAAATTTTGTGGCAAAATTTCCCATAATGTTTGTTAGTGTCTTAGTGTTTTATTGATGTGCATTGTGCAGGATTTGAGCTACCACTTGTTGCTTGTTGTGGCTATGGAGGGGAATATAACTATAGTAGTAGTGTTGGATGTGGAGGAACCATAGATGTCAATGGCACTGAAATTTTTGTGAGTTCATGTGAAAGGCCATCAGTTAGAGTGAATTGGGATAGGATCCATTACACTGAGGCTGCTAACAAGTTCATCTTTGATCAAATTTCTACTGGGGCTTTCTCAGAGCCACCCCTTCCTTTGAGTATGGAATGTCACAAAAATTAGAGCTGTAGTTGCTTTTATCAATGCAACAACTTGTATTATGAATAAAGTGAATTCCATATCAAGTCTGAATATGATTAGATCTTTAGTTGCTTTTATTGGATAAGTTATTCTCTACTCGCCTGGTAAATACTTAATTAAATAATACTATTGTTTCTTCTGTTTAAAAAAAAAATTGTAATATTTTTTATTCTAAAGAATTATATGGATTATTTTCATATCAATGAGTCGTATATAGATAAGTTTTTTCTCTTTTTATGATTCTTGGCATCACTAACGGGTATAAAGGGTGTCAACCCCTTACAAGTCATGACAATATCAGTAATTTGAGCTTATTAAATCTAGGTGGCTGAGTGATGTATTCAGTTTCATAGATGGTGATATGTTACTTAGTGGTTTGAGAGGAGAAAAAATGAAGAGTCTAGATGGTTTTTGGAACAATCAATATTTACTAGATCTACATGCGCAGTCAAAATTTTGATGACTCAATAATAAACTATTAAGTGATACATTGTTATCTAAAAAATCAAATACATTATCACTATCTAGATTTAATAAGTTCACGTCATCATACAGAAATAACTTTACAAAAAAACAATATCAACTAAAAAAATTAAAAAAATGTAAGTATAAAAACTAAAATAAAAATCTATTTAAAATTGTATAGAATAAAAAGTAAAGTGAAATTACACGAACTAAAGAGATATTTTAACCTTCAAAATTGAATTTGAGTCTCGTTAAAAAAGTTCTGATTTTTCTTTTCCTTTTCACATAAAATCCATTCAACAAAAACTTGCATAAAAAATGGATTTATATTCTTACGTAAGTAACTCAATGTGATAATGTCATGTAATGTGAGTCAGAAAAGCACATATTAATTATAATAAAAACCATTATAATTCATGTAGCTAGGTCCCATTAATTTTATTTTTGTGTCCTTTTGGTAATGTCACGTTAATCACTCACTAACATTTCAATGTTAAAATATTGTGAATGGGTAAAGGGGAGAGTAGCTGAAAATTTCTATATAAGGCTTTGATATTTGGTCACATACCACAACCCAAACCAACTGAAATTTCCAAAGGCAAAAAATACAAGAAGATGAAGAGCGAGTTCCTTTTGGTTTTCCTATTCTTGGGAATTCTTAATTGTGAAGCCCAATCTTTGAATCTCAACTCATATGACTATTTAGAACTAGCCTTAAGGTGGCCAAATTCCTATTGCTTGACACATGAAGGTGGTTGCAGGGACATAGTGCCCCAATATTTCACTATTTACTACCTTCGTCCCAGGAAAAGGGGAGGACCTGATCTGCAAAACTGTCCCACACCATTTGCTCTGCCAAATAGCACTGTTAGTATCTCTTCCATTATTGCATTCCCATACGTTGGAATTACTGTTTAAATATTACAGTCTTAAATATCTTCTTTCTTTATAATATATTTTCACTTTTGATCTCCAAGATATTTTTGTTTAACTTTTGGTTCCCGCAAGTTTTTTTTTTTCTTTTCTCGTTACTTTATCACCGTTTTTGCATGACGTGTCTATTAAATAGAAAATGTTTTAAGTGAATTTAAATCTTTTAATGTTTAACCAAGTCTCTTAATTCAATAGTTGCAAAGTCTGTTCTATAATACAAGAGATCAAAATGGTGATTCCAAGTTAAATTTCCATCAATATTAAAATAATACATGGCTACCAAGTCCTACGAACGTTAATAATTGTCAATTTTGAGACACTGCATAAATCATATTCATAAACAAAAAGAACCTTGATGTTTAACACGTCATGCAAAAATTTTAAAAAGTAACAAAAAAGATGAAAAACAATAATAAAAGAAAGTACGAGAACCAAAAGTTAAACAAAAATAATTTAGAAACTTAAAGTGAAAATTAGGAGACCAAAAAGATATTTAAGTTTTCTTCAAGGGAATTGTCCTTGAAATTTGATTATACTAAGACACTATTTGAATAAGTTAGATAAAAAAGGTTTCATAAAAGTTTACGTGATAACTTGATTTTAACTCAAGAAACTCTACCTTCTTATTATCTTCTAGTACGTAGGAAGAAGTTTATCAAAATATGTCACTTGAAGTTTGTGCCGCTAAATAATTCTATAATTTGAATACATGCAGATTGAAGCGAACAAAAATGACTTACTCAAGTTTTGGCCAGATTTAAGAACTGATAATTTCATAGAGAGCAAGTCATTATGGAGGGACCAATGGAATAGGTTTGGTTCATGCTATAATATGATGCCAGATGACTATATTGCTTATGCACTCAACAACAGAAAGAGAAATGACCTGAAGAAAATCTTGACCAGTGCAGGTAAATATGAAATTCAAATTCGTATAGTACACAAAATGTTAGAGGAAAAATAAAGAAAACTTGGTATCGTAATGAGGTTGAGATTTTATGTTAGGAAAATGAGTTATTATGTTAATATTATTCATAAAAATTTAACTCCTAATTAAGGAACATTAAAGTGATCCTAAATATGGCTATCTTATTGTGATCTCATTTTTAGGTATTGTTGCAAGTGGAAATCCATATCCATCACGTAGAATACTACAAGCTTTCAGGAAAGCTTTGGGTGTGAATGTGGACATAGTCTGTGAGCCAGATAGAAATGGATATGTTTATCTTGCAGAGGTTCATCAATGTTTTGATGTTCAAGGAACAACCCCTATAGACTGCGACAATAAGGCAAGAGGATGTGATGATGACCCCATCTTTCCATATATGGGATTCCAACAAGATGAAGATCCCAAGTAATAACGCCATGCAATCATGCATAAGCTCCTATATAATTGTATTACCCGGCCCTAGAACATATATGTATTCAAAATAAGGGGTTCTAAGTGTATGCTAAGAAAATAATTAATAAAAATTTTAAAAAAAATGTTTAACCAAATATGTGCAAAACAAAAAAAATTTGTCGCCTGTTGATATCTACTACTTTTACATATGTAAAAAATTGTTAAGATGTTGAAATCCCACTATTTTTACTTGTCATGATAGCATCCCTAGCTTTTGCCTAGATATAGATCGCAGGGAGGCAAACACAAATCTATCTACTAAATTACATCTAAGATTTAAAAGTAAAAAAATAGAAAGATTTTTTTCATTATTGCCTTAATTTAACTAATAAGATCTTATACAATTGATTAATAATTAAAGCATGTTTGATTTTCTTCTTACTTATTTAGTTTAAAAATTATTTTCTAAAACAGTTCTATATTACTTATTGTAAACATCGGATTTCGTCTGGGACACACAAACAAAGAAATGGACTTTCAGCATAAAGAAGGATCTCATGAAGGCCCGAAAACAGCACTAGAGTAGGACAAAAAAACATCCAAGGATCCAAAAAACAAATGCCAGAATTAGTAGTCCGAAATGGTTCATTCCCAAACCAAAATGGGTCGTTCGAAGCTTAAAACAAGGCATTTAATCCTAGGTCAAAACACCCCATTCTAACCTAGTCTGTTATGGGTAAAACTCAAATCCAGAACGGGCAGTTCCGCTTTAGGAATGGGCCTTTCAAGATTCAAATTTTACACATAACAGAAAAGTCCAAAACGGCCCGTTTTGGAATTGGAACGGCCCGTTATGGTGAATTTTCGTGCCTATAAATAGTAGGCTCGAGCAAAAGGCTAAGGGCCGAAATTTTTTATATTTGATTAGTCTCTCTAAAATCTAGTACTCTTCTTTCTCTCTTTTATTGTATTTCTTGAGATTTGTGAGGTATTGTGGAGTGTGAAAGGTAGCCACAAATCACCTTAAATTTTCTACATTCGGAAGTATCTACAAAAGCTCATTTTAAGAGGTACCTTTCTCTACTATCTATCTTTTCTGTCATCAACAAAAACAATCATGTAGATGTTTCAAGGCAAACCATGTAAATATGTAAATAGTTATTAATAAAAGAGAACCTAATATTTAAATTATTGTTTGCAATCGTGCTAGTTTCATCATAGGGTATCAATTCAGGGCGTAATAGGATGCCTAACACCTTCCCTAAACATAATCGACCCTCGAATCCAATTCTGGTTGTAAAGGCCATTTTGGAATTTTAAAACTCTTTTCTTCTTTTTCTGATGTTTTGAGTAAAATATCGGTGGCGACTCCATGAACTCTTTTCAAAATCATTAGTTAGGGATTAGTCTGGTGTTTGAGCATTCTCTAACTGATGATATTTTTAAAAAAGAAGGTCTAAACCATCTGTGGGCAAGATCAGAATCTTTCACGTTTTGATAGATGGCAACTCCACTAGGGAAAAACTTAAAGAGGGTCAGGCCTAAATAAATGATGTAGCTAGCGAAACAAGAACAATAATTTGAATATTTAGTTCCCTTTACTTTGTTTGTTTTGCATTATTTACTTTAATGGCTTTATATCTACTTGTTTCAAAAAAAATAATTGCACACAATAGTTCCCTCTATACTCGAGGGCATGAGAGCATAAATACAAGGAGTGGTTGACGTACGATCGACCCAAGTATGGCCTTAGAGCTTGTAAGCCTTGTCAAAAATCACACTCAAGGTGATAACTGGTTACTCTAGCCCGAAATACTACGACAGATCTTAGAGTTTGTCAGGTGACAGCGATAGAGGTATTGGGTCCCTATAATGGGGGCACCATGGGAGCCTTTGAAGACTAGTGAGGACAATTGGAACCTTCCTATACAAAGCACATTCTTTGATAGGGACCATAGACCATAGATTTGTGAGCGTTCGTGGATTACTTTATGTGAGCATATGTTTGTTGTATTTGTTGTTTCATTTTTTAAAATGGATAAGGGTTATGAGGAAATGAAAATTAATACCCTTTCCGAATGCCCTATTTAAGTATCATATAGGTTAGCTTGTTTTAAAATTGGTAAAAATAATCATCATAGCCTTTAGTCAAACAAAACATGATAATACTTAGGCAGAAAGTCACATGTCATGCATTTCTTTAGGATAATGATTAATAAACATTCATTTAGAATATGGTAGGCATAAATAGTAGCATGCATGGACCGTTAAGGAAGGTGAACATTCTGAATTATGCAATGCCAAGAGTCAAAAGTTTATGCACTCTAATACCAAGAGAAGTTAAGGCTGACTTCAAAAAGCACAATGGAAGAATCCTCGACCTACTAAGGATATCCTTTGACCCCTCCTTCATGAGAGCTTTGGTGCACTTCTGGAAGTTAGAGTTTCGTTGTTTTCTATTCCCACATTTCCACATAGTACCCACTGTACAAGAGTACGACCTAATGGTTAGGTGGTCCAAGTCTGAAGGGGTCTACGTTATGATGGAAGGACATGTCTCCATGGATAAGGTAACTGAACTAATCAGGCTACCCCCTCATTTATCCACATTTTGATGGAAATGGAACAATCAAAGGTTGGAAGCTCTCTATTATAGAAGGACACCTATGCCTTCTAGCCAATTAGGAAGACTGGATAATTTTCAACAAGACTCTAGCTTTAATCTTGTTTTCGATAATCTTTTTCCCTTTTCACAAGAAGGTAATAGATCACGCTGCAATTGATGCCTTCTTTGCTTGGGATGTGCACCTAACGAGCCTTGTGCTTGCCATTCTTGTCGATACCTTGATCACTATTGACTTCTATAATAAAAAATCAGGGAGACAAATGAGATACTACAGCCCGTTCCTTTATGTGTGGGCATATACACACTTTTTTGCGAAGGACAATATGGGAAATCTACCTGACCCGTTAATAAGCTTTCTTAGAATCCATGCACCAAGGAAGTATGTTATGGCTTGGAAAGCCGAAATGAAGAACTGTACCGAACACACCTTCATGTTGATGTGTCCATGGTTCTGGCCAAGTCAAGTGTTGATCCAATGTGGCAAATTCCCTAATCTACCATTGATGGGATTAAGAGGATGGATAGCCTATTCCTCGAGGCTGGTATTAAGGTAGCTTGGGAGAATACAAACTTTGCCAAACCTAGAAGAACTTGGAGGGATTTTTTTCTTCTACGCCTCCAGGAAACAGTCGCTGATTGGCACCATCAAGGAAGCTTAGAGAAAGCCACTCTACATTGGAGACAATGAACTTGGTAGATCTCGAATAGGTACAACCAAATTAGTGAACCAAGGTGAGCAGCAACGAGTTAGTTTCTTGACTAAGAGAATGGAAATTTTGGAAGCCCAAATAAAAACCTTGGAAGAAAAGGATGAGGAATCCAAACTTTACATTGACAACCTACAAAGGAAATGCAAGAAAAAGGAAATGGAGATCAAGTGCTTAAAAGATGAATGTGCTGACAGAAATACACAGCCAGCAAAAACACCAAAAGTTGATCTAGATAAGAAACTCGCGAAAGCCTTATCAAGGGTACCACAACTCGAAATCAAACTCTGGGGGCAGACACAAGAAAAAGAAGAAGCATATGAGGACCTATCTAGGGCCAAATCTAAGGTACAAGTTTGGTGGGAGATCACCCAAGAACGAGCCACAACCATTTTTGACTCTTGACAAAAGGAAGAAAAAGGGCTCGATCTTCTCAAAGAGCTTACCCACCAAAGAGACCAAGCTCTAGAAGAAGTTCAAGAGTTGAAAGTAATGATGAGATATTATCAAGAGAAGGCCAAGGAAGCACGATTGACTTGCCACAACATGGGCAAAGTAGTCCATGAACAGTCAGAAGAAATGAGGGGACACGTCTTAGAAGCTGAAGATGACTTATCTATGTATCAGCCAAGCTTAAGTTTCTTTAGACTTCTACGATATTGTCAAAGCATATTGAAAAGCATTGTATAAAGAATGTTCTCTAAACAAACAAATCAATAAGAATGATATTTGGTGAATTCCTCAATTGTCTTTGCATCCTATATCGCATTTCATTTAGAACATACATCTTCCCTATAATTAATAAAGAATGAATAAAGGAAATCTAATATGTGCATGATAATTAGATAATGAAATCGCTGCCTGACACATCAAATCGGGGAACGCTTCACATAAAACCAGTAAGCGCACAAAAGGACGAGGGGCAAAGCATGCCCAAGTTGATAATTTGAGCACTAAGTCCTTTCCTATATGAAAGTGAGAAAGTAGTGCCATGGATCTATGATGTGCAAAGCCTACCATTAACAAATTCATCAAACGTTACTAGGATCGGGGGATTGACTAAGACCGGGCGAATCTATACTCCTAAGGATTCAGAAACTAAGGCCCCCAAAGAGAAAGATAAGGAGGAGGGGAGAGGAGAACTCAACAAAGAAGATGAACTCCTCAAATTCATTCGACAAAGCAAATATTCTATCGTTGATCAACTTAACCATACCTCGGCGAAGATTATGCTACTTCATTGATCATGAGCTCAAAGCCACATCGAAAGACCCTATTAAGGGTTTTAAATGAAGCCTACGCCGCATGTCACATTTTACAAGACAAGTTTGAAGGGATTGTAAGCCATACATGACTAATGATCACTTGACCTTCACCGATGATAAGATACCAAATGGACAAATAAACCATAATAAATCCTTACATATCTTTGTAAAATGTAAGGAGTTTCTCATCGCCAAGGTTTTGGTAGACACTGGGTCTTCCTTGAACATGCTATCAAAGAACACCTTTGACAAGATAAATCAAAGGATCTATACGTGCTCAAAGGCGTAAAACAGTTACTTGGAAATTTTTTCAAAAAAGTGTGCATTCCCCTCTTTTTTTTGATAAAATTCAAAAACCTTTATTGTTTTCTTTTGAGAGTTTCAAATCCATGAAAATACAAATATTTTTTATCTTAAAAAATTGGATGCGAAAAAAGACAGAATTCAAAATTTCGTATTATAGAGTGGAAAAGGCAAAAGAAAGTTCGAAAAAAGAGGAAGAAAAAAAAAAAGAAATTGAGCAAAAAAAACGTATAGAAATAGCAGAAGCCTGGGATAGCATTATATTTGCTCAAGTAATAAGAGGTGTTTTATTAATAACCCTTTCGATGGATCTTGAAGGGAAGTAATGATAGAAGATCTTAAAGGAGGTGATAGATGTTCCTCTCCAAGCTCCACCTTCAACGTCCTTCTTCTGTTGTGGCTTGATTCAACAA